CCCCAAAACCCCAAAACCCCAAAACCCCAAAACCCCAAAACCCCAAAACCCCTATATTCACAAATTTCATTGGAATAACTAAATTTATAATTAAAAATGGGAAGTTGAGGCTGAATTGAAGAAAGTAAGCATCTCTCTTAATCTTCTTCATATAATGCTATACGAGCCACCATCTTATATAATCCAGCGCTCTTATTAAATGTTTATATGAAAGTTTTTTCCAAAGCTGAGCACCGTTTACTTCTAAACCCAATATTTTCAGTGCATTTTGAATCCATTTTAGTATCATTAATTATAATAGGACAACCACCAAAGAAGGTGACAGATTTCAAAAGGGGAAAAGAAGAAAATGGAAAGGTATGAAGATAGTTGAAACTATCCTAAATTGCCCATTGAAGTTCAACAGAGAATTCTTATTATTTTTCTATGATTCTTATAAGCTGCTCTAAGTTCCACACCTTTTATAAGCCTTCATTGATAAATCTAGTCCTCCTCTTACTCTAAAACTTTACAAAGGTCAGAACTTTCTCTCTGCTCTAAACATTCTTCATAAAACTTAACAATTTCTTAATTTTCAGACAAAAATCCATCTAAAAATTCTACTAAATTTGGTGCCAACCTCTACCACAATTAACTACTCTCCTCCCCTCTAACTACACACTGGCAGCCCACTCCTCACTTTTCCTCCTGCCTCTGAACCCTAAAGACCCATGCCCAAATCCTTTTACTCTAGCTTGGGTCACTGGGAACAGGCAGGTGAGTAGGTGATTTGGGGAATTTTATAGTTAGTTTTTTATGAATTTACTGAGGTCTTGAAAGGAGGAGTTGTGAGAAATAGAGAAAAGAGTTTTGGTGGAGGGATGTAGAGGGGGACTTGAATTTTGTGTTTGTAGTATTTTTTAGTTATGATAGATAGTAATAGTAGTGATCTATGGAGATTTGACAAAAGTGTCCCCATTTTAGCACACTTTCTTTAAATTTATTCTTAAAAGGCAAAATTTGGTTAGTGGAATTAATAATTTTTTAACTTAAATATGCTTAACTTTTAAATATCAAATTTCAAATAATTTCTATTTTCGATACTAAATTCATCATTCTCTTTAAATTCTTATTCCCTCTAAAAACTAATCTCTCAAATTCTTCCTCTAGTCAGCCTCAAAAATCAACTACAAAAATGCTCAAGACGGAGACATCGACTATACACAGCTCGAAGCAAGAGATAGAGCAAGTTGAAGTAGAAGAAGGAGATTGGGCAAGGTAAAGAGGACAAGTGAGCCACCAGGATTTGTAAATGTAAGTAGGCATACTGGTCAGTTGTAATATTTTTAGTGTATGGTCACAGGATTTGTCAACGGAAGAGCAGGACAGGCAGGAATGAGAACATCTTGACCTGTGAATTAAGTGCTGATTTTAATTTGGTCCGATATTGGTACAGTTTAGTTAGGTTTCAGTGGAAGGGAATTTTTTGGGGTTTTGGGGTTTTGGGGTTTTGGGGATTGGGGTTTTGGGGTTTTGGGG